ATGGGACGCCCATTAACAATTGACTCCACTTCACACATGAGGGTAGTCAACCCTTCATCATCCAGCGGCTGTTCCTTCATAAGTGCAACAAGAATCTTTCTGACAGTTCTAATACAACGTTCCCACACGCCACCGAAATGGGACCCCGATGGTGGGTTAAACAGCCACTTGACATTTCTTTGCAAGAGGAACTCATGGATCTGACTCTTGTTCCAACCAGAGATAGCTTCTCGGAGTTCCTTGCACCCGCCAACAAAATTTGAGCCGTTGTCCGACCTCATTACTTCAGGAACACCTCGCCTTGCGATAAAGCGGCGCATGGAGTTCAAGAACGAATCAGTGTCCATACTCTGGGCGACTTCAAGTGTATGGCTCTGGTCGCCAAACACGTGTACAAGACTCCATAACGCTTAACTTGACTTCTAGCCCTCTTGACCCAAAACGGACCGAAACAATCAACGCCTACAAAACTGAACGGGGGTTTGTTAGGTGTGACTCTGTCAGCAGGAAGATCGGCCATCTTCTGAGTTTTAAACGGAGCCTGTCTTCGCCTACAGCTAAAACAACGGTTTACAACTCTTCTCACCGCGACTCTTCCTTTGATAATCCAGTAACTCTTTCTGATCAAAGAGAGCACATATTCTTGACCAGAATGCCCAGAAAGCAAGTGATAATGCCTGACGATCAAATCTACAACATGATGTTTCTTAGGCAGTATTACAGGGTGTCTTTGCTCCTGTTCAATTGGTGCATGCCTCAATCTTCCTCCCACACACAGCAGGTCATCGCGCAGCTCAGGATCCAACTTGGCGATTGAACTTGATTTCTTGACGGAACCTGTTCTTCTGGCTCGGACTGATTTCTTGAGCTCAACTTTTGATTCTTTACCTTGCAGACACACCAACTCTTCTCTAAAGCATTGCCTTTGTACATACTTCAAGACTTCTATCTCAGCAGAGTGCATTTCTTCTACACTGATGGGACTGGGTATTTCGGAGACGAGTACTTTAGCTGTGCCTTCCTTCCGCCTGCGACACTCGCGCAGAAGATTAGAACGATAACGCAAGATCCATGCCATCAATTTCTTAAGCTTATACCACGAGGAACAGGACTGCACTACTCGGTTTAAGAAGTCAGCTTCAACTGTAGACGCTACTGAGAAAGTTTTCCTTTCCCGTTTCACCTCAGGATCATCTTCCTTTATTTCCACAGAAATTTCAGGTCGCTTAGGCCAGCGGTCCTCTGCTTCCCACAAAAAAGGAGGGCCATTAATCCAGCGGCTCTGGTGGATGATGTCTTCAGCCAAAAGCCCTCTGGACGCATCGTCAGCTGGGTTGGAATCTGTGTCAACATAGTTCCACTGATCTGGTCGCGATCCTTCATGGATTGTTGTAATTCTGTTCGCGACGAACGTCTGAAATCTCTTCTCTTTGTTCGTAATATAGCTCAACACGCACGTGCTGTCCGTCCAAAAGAACTCTTCTTCTAGTGCTACATCCAACTCATGTTGCATCATCTTGTTCAATCTGGTGGCAACCACAGCAGCTGAAAGCTCCAGACGAGGAATAGTAACTGACTTCTGGGGTGTTTGTCTCGACTTCCCCATCAAAAAGGCACAATGGACATTTCCAGCTTCATTGACGACTCGAAGATAAGTAACAGCACCATAACCTTCACCTGATGCGTCTGAGAAATTGTGAAGTTGGCTAGACACTATGCGGCCAAAGTTCTTGGGCCTTAAACAACGTTGAACGGCGAACTGTTCGAGTTTTGGAAGTTCCTGCAACCAATCTTGCCAACGCTTTAAATCTTCAAGGGGAATTTTAACAACAAACCCTAGAGGGTCATAAATTGAGCTTATGACGGAAAGAATATCCCTCCTCGTTGGGGGTCGGTCCTTCACTGCAATCTTAAAACGTAAGGTATCTGACTGGACATCCCACAGAATGCCGAGGGCACGCTCAACAGGCAAGTTCTCGAGATCGAGCTCCTTGACGGAACTGGCTCTCTCGGATACTGGGACTAACTGGATGACATCGTAGGCATTTGAAACCCATTTCGTTAAGCGGAAACCTCCTTTGGCCAGCAACTGACGTAGCTGATCGACCAGTCGACTTGCTTGTTGGTTATCTTCCACAGACTTCAAGCAGTCATCAACATAGAAATTTCTTCTCACCGTCTGAATGGTGTCTTTATCAAAATGTTCCGCATTGTCTTCAGCCGTTTTCTGCAGTGCATAATTCGCACAACTGGGAGATGAAACTCCCCCGAAAAGGTGAACTAGCATTTGAAATTCTTCTGGTTCCTTGTCCATTTCACCACTCGGCCACCACAGGAAACGGAGGTACCTGCTATCCTCTATTGGTACGCGCACTTGATAAAACATCTTCTCAATGTCAGCCATGATGGCTATGGGCTGTTCTCTAAATCTTGTTAGGACTCCAATGAGCGAGTTGGTTAAATCAGGTCCTTGCAAAATCTGTTGATTGAGCGAGACATTCTGGAATTTTGCGGCACAGTCAAAGACCACTCGGACCTTGTCGGGCTTTTGTGGGTGAATGACGGGGTGATGAGGTAGATACCATGAGGGTGAATCCTCTCGCTGACCTTCAGGAACTTTCTGTGCATGTCCTTTATCAAACAAGTCATCCATAAATAAAGAATTCTTCCGGTGTAGTTGGGGATCCTTCAGCAGCCTCTTCTTCAGCAACCCAAGACGATGTTCAGCGACGATCTTGTTGTTGGGCAGATCTGGAGGGAAGACCTTCCAAGGAAGCGCAACTTCGTAATGACCACCGCGGAGCTCAGCAGAATCCTCCATTATGGCAAGGGCTCTCTTGTCATCTTGAGACAATCCTTTCTCAATGCTGAACTGCGAATCATTAAATTCTATTTCACAGAAACGTACAAACTGCTGGTCCAAGACAACATGAGACTGGATACGGTTTGAAGTACGGGCTGCCTTACTTGCCCTACCGAGTGGGCCATTGATGGTCCATCCTAGCAGTGTTCGCACGGCATAAGGACCACCATCTTCACTTCTCTGCACTTCATGAGGTTCAAGAAGTTCGGGCACATCATTACCTATGAGCAATTCGATGTCGGCATCAATGCAAGGTAAGTCGATATCTTTCAGGTAGAACCACCTTTCCACATCACTTTGAACCGGCACATCATCAACGGTGACTGGAAGCTTGACTCGTGAGAAAACATTTGACAGTTCAACGACATTACGTCCTTGCAGATCAGAAACTTCCAAATTGACCACTAGACTTTCACTCTTAACATTATCACTATCCATGGTAGTTAAAGACAGCATCGCTTTTCTACCTGTTGCACCTAGACGTTCTATCAACTTGTCAGTGCAAAATGTAGTGTTCGACCCTGGATCCAGAAACGCGTAGGTTTGAACCATCTTCTCCCTTCCCTCGGCTCTGACATTAACTGGAACTATGGCAAGTCCTGTAGCTGATGCTCCGGCCCCAGTCGCACTACACACTCCTTCACATGCTACCATTTCAGTGAAACAGCTTCGGGCTTGGCCATTCTGATTCTCATTCTCCGTGTTGCTCGACTGGGTCTCAGATACTGATGGAGTTGGTGCTTTGACTGGTTTGTCATTCTTTGGGTGTAAGAACGTAGAATGTTTCCGATGACCTATCTTACATCCGACAATCTGGCAGAAGCTTTTCTTGGGGCACGACATCGCCATGTGTCCCGCAACAAGACAATTATCACACAGTCCTCTACTACGCACAAAACTAATTCGCTCATCAACCGACTTTCCTCTGAAAAGCTGGCAGCGTGATAGCCAATGACTCTCCTTACACAATGGGCACTTGACGTTCGACTTGTCAGGCGCACGTTCAGTGTTGTCCTTAGGTGGGTCAGTAGTACTTTCCGGGGTGGTTCCTTGTGTCGTGAAAGCAGAACCTTTGTGCTCCTTTGATGGTGTTCTGTACCTTCTTTTGGAACCAATGCCTACAGCGTTGTTCTTGTCATCATTCGAGTGGATGTCCCCAAACACTGGATGGTTGGCTATTCTAGCTTTTGCTTCAACAAATTCTGCAACATCTCCGATAGTGACCTCTCTTTTCAGCTCTTCATTGATGTAATCAGCCTTTTCTCTCCATCTCTGCCTTAGCCAAAGTGGCAACCTTCCAATGATCCTTTGGAGAGTGTCTGGGTTTTCAATTTTGTTTAGGTATCCAATTTCCTTGAGAGAGTTCTTACAACTTGTAAGTACAACCGAGTACCTTTGCAAAGCAGGACCATCATCTGACTTAATCTGAGGAGTTTTCGTTACTCGATCAATGAGGGCAGTTGCTATTTTGTAGCTTTGACCATATCTATCCTTAAGGAGTGCTCTTGCAGTCTTGTAGCCTTCTTTGGGATCCATCGATAAACAGCTTTGCATTAACTCCTTCACTTCTCCTGATGTATATTGAACGAGATAGTACAAACGTGAGTTCGGGCTGCTTGTCTTTGACTCTATTAAATTTTCAAAGGCTCGCACGAAGTCAGAGTACTCAACAGGATCACCCGAAAACACAGAGATTTCAGGCTGTGGCAATGTCATGGCTAATGTTTGAAGCTGGTGCTGTTTCAGCAATTCCTGAAGCTGTTGATTTTGTTGTTGTTGCATCTTCTGGACTTCAATCACGTGACTGACATTCTTGTCACTTAGATCTAGGTGTTGTTCCAATAATCCACCTTCAGCACTTTCACCATTAATCGCAGAGGGTGAGCATCCGTAACCTTTCCATACAGGGGCGTCTGGGTTTAGTGGACTGCATTTAACCTCTTGATTTTCCTCTGTCTGATGAACTGGAGCTTCCACAGTTTCCTTCTCTTCGACTTGACCTGGAGTGGAGGTTGCAAATTGACCTGCTAGTGTCAGTGTATGACTTTCTTGGCCTTCAGGCATATCCACGGTGCTCTCCTTCTTGGTTGCATGTAAAGTCGGTAACTGACTTGACAGTGTTGACAGACGTCGCTCCTCACAATAACTGTACACCTTTTTCTTCAGCGTCGGCCTTTGCTAACTTAGTTTCCAACTCAAAATTCTCTTTCTTCTGCTTCAACAAGAGTTCTTCTAACTGAATGTCCTGCCGTGTCTTCAATGCAGCTACTTCCACTGACAAGGCAGCTTTCTTAGCAGAGGCTCTCAGCCCTGCACTTGAAGCGGTGCTTGACTGTGAGAGACTGGAACTAGCGCTAGATTTAGACTTGCGCCTCCTAGAACTTGCAGCAGACTTCGATTTCGTAGAACTAATATTACTGATAGAGTCTTCCGGATGAAGACTGATGGCAAGATCTAATTCTTCTTGGAGCTTAAACTGAGCAGATTGCAACCAGACCTCAAATGACTGAAACACCGCAGTTCCCATACGTTTCACTGATTCAAAATACTCGATCGAGTCCCGAATTGCACTTTCATCAGTCAACTCAGCGTGATACTTATCATGTGCTTCGTTAAAATGTCTCATAGCTACTTCTAAATCAAGAAACTTCGCTCTAACCTGATCAACATTGTCAGAGCTCTTCATTAGCTCAAGTAATTCGCGCTGTCTTCTGGTGACGGCCGCCTTTGAACCGGACCTACTGCGCTTTAAGCGAAGAATTCTCTCGTGAACGGCTCCATCGACGTCGACAGTTTTGGTTTTCAACCCACGTAAGTCCATCTTACTCTACAATCGATCCACAAGCGAAGAAACAAATTATCGATAACACCAATCAATCAAAGAACGGATAAATTCATGGCACAATCGATGAAAATCCAAGACGATCCACAGCGAAACCAGCGTATCCTTCTAACGCAAATGTAGACTTAAATGTTCACATGAATTTATTCCAAGGAGATTCGGACCAAAGATTCGTTACAAGGATCTGGTTAGACTACGAAAAACAAAACGAGTGTGAATAAAAGGAAGAAAGATGAAAATACTAAGCGACAACATACTTACAGGATTTGAAGGCTCGAAGGAAACGTGAAAAGACTTTAGGCCGTGTAAACGAACAGAACTCGACTAGAACTTTACCTCAAGATTTTCGAGCGAGCACATGCCCCAGACCATAATATTACAACGACATATAAATGACGTAGTTCTTCTACCAGTCCCGCGCGGGCTAAAGACGGGAAAAACTTAACAGATACAAGAAGAACGTTTTGAAACCTACACGCGGCTTCTTACCGTCATGTCCCCAGGCCGCCCGTATACGCATCCAACCGTCCCAGCCTACCGTAGTGACCTATCTTAAAGTCCCTATTGGGGTTTTGGTTTAGAAATGCGTCGCTTGTCAAAATTGAGTAATCCGATTTCGGATGGCATCGTTTTCGTCTTTCACCTTGCTCAATGCGTAAGAGGGTTTAAAAGTCTCAAGCAACTATGGCCTTCCTTGATATCTTTCAGGAACTGAATCTCGAATGGTAAGCCTGAGTAATTATTGTATTTGATGTTTGTTTTTGTTATATCTAATTTCATGAAGTCGAGCACAGTTCACGCTGACAAGTTTTTGCACGTTTGTTGAGATTTGAGTCAATGATCTGATATAGTATCAGGTTTGATATAAGCTTACAGAACTTTAAATGGCCTTCAGATATATTTTCTCACGGCAAATAGAAAAAAAAAACGTTCCGAAGAATATTTCATTATAAATTTGGCTGTAGAAAGAAAACTTTGAGTGATTTTCTTGTTTCGAAGAGTTCATCTTTGAAAAAAACAAACAGCGGAAGGCCGCCTGAAAGTAAAACAAAATAAACTTAAGCTTAAGCTTTAAGCTTAAACACTCAGGATTTTTAGAGACACTTTAATACTTGTCTTCGTGAATGAAAATTGTTGTCTCTGTAAATGTTTTACCGAATTACATTCCTCTTATTGATTGTTAGTAGTCTCTCTTGCAATTTTAATCGCTTGTCTGTGTGTTTGTTTTCATCGTTCATGAACATCGCTTGCAGGAGTACTTAGAAATGTCGCGCGTATCAAACGCTTTATAAGATTACACATCGTTATAACTGGAACCATTAAATAACAAAAAATAATGATAATAAATTCGTTATTATGTTGAAGCGTATCTCCATTAAAGTTCATTCAAACAGTTGACCACACTGACAGCTCGCACTAAAAATGAGAACCGGCTGGCCGTATGAGTGATTTTGGAAATTTTTTGAACGGTTTCGCTAAAAGCCCACGATTGATTGTCCTGAACATTGAAAAATTGTGAAATGCCGTATTCTGTCCGAGGTCTGTATGATAAAAAGTACTATTTCACCTCAGATATGATGTATAAAAAGTCGGTTTACACACCCTCAGATTTGTTGGCAAGAATTTGTAAAGTAAACCTGTCGAACGCAAAAAAATGCGGCCTGATTTGTTTTCCAAGAATTTGTTTTCGAGGCCTAATCTACTGTGATCAAGAGCCATTATGGCTCTTGAATGTGATAGAAGATGTTTGCTATTTTTTTGGTGTACATATATTTAGGCTATCAACTCGATGTAAGATGTTTCAATCTAAAATAACTTATCCTTTCCGTCAAAATTCACATGAATGTGCCCTTAAGTTAACTGATTTGTGGATTACAAGTTTATTGTTTGATTTAAAATATAAATTTATTAATGGGAGCTTCGCTTTTAGCCCTGGCTAAATCTATATATTATATCCCCATAATTCATATTTATTCTCTGGTATTCCTCAGATAAATGTTGCAGCTGATAAGAATAAGATTAACAACCCTGTCCTGCTTTGAAACAAACATTTACCTACGTGTATTTTTACGTGCACACGCTAAAAAACAAGCCTCCGATCCGCAAACAAAAATAATTTGTAAACAAACCTTACTGATCTCTCTGTTTACCCCATAGGCGTACGGGAAATTTTTTGCCAGGGGGGGCGGTAAACCATTTGCCCAAAAAAATTCTCGCAAGTGTCCCAAATTTTTACAGAAGAGTTGAAACGAAACGAGGGCCATATTGCAACAACATAGGCCGTACTGGCGTATAAAGGTGGCTCGATACAGTTTTTCAGGGTCAATGCCAAGTTTGAGCATAAACTTATTATTGATGGGCAAGTTTATCGTGGAAAAGAAACTAAAGATCTTCCTCTGTACGGTAAAGTTATGGTACATGATTAGTCAGTTGTTGTAAATAATTGATTCCTTTCGCGCTCCCAAGAGTTGCTTCGCTCATAGCGCCTACTTATTTAGCATTAAACTGTTCATAGGGAACCCGTTCAGGTGTAAGAAGAGGTTTCCCTGCTTTGAGCAATTTGTGCTCTAGTAACTGTGCGTTTTGTGTCTTAGCGTTTCTGTATAGCCGTTTCTATTTACATGTTTAGAATCCATTTTGATATACTTAGATTTATCTCCCTACAGCTTAGTCTTGTACTCCTTCAGCTTGCGTTAAGGCTGATTACTAATGTTTATTATTTAATTTACATTAAGTACACTTTCAATTCGAAATTGCTCACATTCGAAAAGTTTTTCAATACCTTCCTCAACGAAACCGATAGAATATTCTATGCTGCTAATTCACAGCTGCTCCGTTTAGACTCTCCTTTTGTTCTTTAAACGTAAGAGGTTTAAATCAAGCTAGAAAGAGACGGCGGGTGTTTAGATGGCTCCACAATCAAAAATTCGACGTTGTTTATTTACAAGAAACTTACTCTTCCAAAAGTGTCGAAGAAATATGGAAAGCAGAATGGGGAGGGAAAATTTATTACAGTCATGGAACAACACATTCAAAAGGTGTGATGATATTATTTAAACCGAGTCTGGATTTCGAAACAGAAAGCATCTTCGCTGATAAGAATGGACGATACTTGCTATTAAAAGCCAACGTGCTAGAATCTTCCTTCTTGTTTAGCAAGATAGCTTTCTTTCGCAATCTTGATAACATTCTCCTACCATTTGCAGATGCACAAATCATCTTGGGAGGTGACATGAATTGCCCATTAACACCTACAGATAAAATGGGTGGTGCTACTGTTCAGAAAAAACAAAAAGTCATTGACGAGATTGAAGGCTTAACCCAGCGTTTTAAACTTCATGACATTTGGAGAAATCAACATACCAACAAAACACAATTTAAATGGCGAAACAATTCCTTGAAAGTGCAATGCCGCTTAGATTATTGGCTTGTGTCGAAAGAATTGTTGATGTCTGTCATTGATACTAACATCACCAACCCCACAATATCTGATCATAGCGCTATCACTTTCACTCTTCAATCGACAGAATACGCTAAACGTGGACCTGGGTTTTGGAAAATTAATAACGCTTTGCTGAAAGACGCAAATTTCATGGACGAGCTCGTAAGCAAAATACCCGAATACAAAAGCAAACACTGTTACCTTACTAATGAAGGCCTGTACTGGGACATGCTCAAGATGGAGATTAGAGGTTTCTGTGTACAATACTCAAAAAGGAAAAACAGAATAAAAAGAAATAAGGAACGAGACCTTCAGAAAGAAATTGATCACCTAATGGCCTTGCTGCAATCCAACAGATCGAAAGAAAATATCACTAAACTCTACCAATTAAGAGCTCAACTCAATCAGATTGCTGAATATAAAACCGAGGGTGCAATGATTAGAAGTAGGATACGCTGGCACGAAAAAGGAGAAAAGAATACTAAATACTTCTTAAATCTTGAGAAAAGGAGGTTTGCAAAAACTCATATAACTAGGCTTAAAACAAGTACTGGCTCGGAAACTTCTTGCGAAAAAGAGATTTTGGAAATGCAGAGAGCATTTTATGAAAATTTATATACGAGCGCTCCCTGTGATATTATTGCACGCGATGCTTTCCTGGGAGACCCTAACCTCGTCAAACTCGACGAAGACGAGCTAAATGAACTTGAAGAGCCTTTGTCGAAAACCGAATGTTTCACCGTTCTTAAACAGTGTGCTAAAAACAAATGTCCGGGCAGCGACGGTCTCTCAGTTGAGTTCTATTTGCACTTCTGGCATCTACTTGGTGATGAGATGGTCCAAAGCTTTAACTATGCTCATAAAGTAGAACAACTCAACATAACACAAAGACAAGGTATAATAAAGGTCATACCGAAAAAACGCAAGAACAGGTTGTATTTGGAACATTGGAGACCGCTAACGTTACTTAACGTCGACTATAAAATAGCAACCAAATCTATAGCCCATAGAATCGCTAAAGTCCTCCCCAAATTAAAAAACGACGACCAAACTGGCTATGTCAAGGGCCGCTATATAGGACAGAACATTAGACTCATTAACGATATCATGAAGATTACTGAGCTAGAAAACATTCCCGGCATGGCGATTTTTGTGGACTTTAAAAAAGCTTTTGACACCGTCGACTGGAACTTTCTTTTTAAGACCTTGGAGGCATTAAATTTCGGTCCTCAGTTACTACAGTGGATCCGAACCTTTTACACTGACTGTTCTAGCTGTGTAGTAAATAATGGTTACGCCTCTGTCTTCTTTAAACTACAAAGAGGTGTTCGCCAAGGGTGCCCTCTTTCCGGCTCCCTATTTGTGCTGTGCGCTGAAATTCTTGCTAATGCAATAAGGTCTAATGCAAATATTCAAGGAATCAACATATATGGAAAGGAATTCAAAATTTCACAATACGCAGATGATACCACTGTTTTTGTCTCTGATATAACATCTGCCCAAAACCTCTTCCAACTGCTCCACGCTTTTCAAAAAATGCTCTGGTCTTGAAGTAAACAGAAGCAAGACAGAGGGCTTGTGGCTAGGCGCGAACAAAAAACAACCCGGAAGAACCTCTTGATATTGCATGGCCAAAAGATCCTGTATTTGCACTTGGTATTCACTTCTCTTATGATGACGAAGCTGCTTTCAAAAGGAACTTTGAACAGAAACTGTCCTCGATGGCTTCCTTGCTAAACTTGTGGTACCCTAGGAACTTAACTTTACATGGTCGAATTGTCATTTTAAAAGCATTAGCCCTCTCCAAACTTATTTATAACACTGCTGTCCTCACTGTCACCCCCACATTTATTCAAAAAGTTAATAAAGCTATTACTCAATTCGTCTGGCAAAAGAAAAAACCAAAAATAAAACAAACTACCCTGATTGGCCCTAAAGAAAAAGGTGGTCTCTCATTGCCTGATTTTGACATAATTAACAATGCTCTCAAAGCAACTTGGATCAGAAGACTTGACAGCTGTCATCCCTCCGCGAGTTGGACTGTTTCCCTGCTAGAGCGAGTTGGTGGTCTCTTTCTCCTTAAATGTAACTTTGAACTTAAACATCTTAACATCCACATTCCATTGATCTTTTACGAGAAAGCCTTGTTGGCCTGGCAATCCATAAATTCGTTCACTCCCTCCTCAAAAGAAGAAATACTGAATGAAATCTTATGGAACAACCGCTTTATTAGGATCAACAATTATTCAGTATACTATAAAGCATGGCATGTAGCGGGTGTTGAAAAAATTGGAGATCTCTTCAACGGCAATACCTTTCTATCTCACCAAGACTTCTGCTCTTATTTTGGTCTTAAAACTAATTTTCTTACCTACTACGGTTTATGCAAAGCAATTCCTCCTAACTGGATTAAAATAATGAAAGGTAAATTACAACCGCCTTCGAATAAATCCATAAGTATGGATAGAATTCCCGTTGAGAAGCTTTCTTCTAAACTTGCTACCAACTTTTTTGTTGAAAGAAAATTTGTTCCTGCCACCGCCAAAAAAAGACTGAGAAAAGCTAGTTTAAACGAACAGCAAATTTCTCAAATTTACAAGATGATTTTCAGTGCTACGAAAGACATACAACTCTCAATGTTTCAGTTCAAGATCTTACACCACATCTTACCCACCAACGCTACATTATATAAATTCGGAATTAAGGAACATGACCGCTGTCATTTATGCGCTGAAAAGCAAACAATCACACACCTATTTGTGACTTGCCCCAATGCTCAGCTGTTTTGGACTCATTTTTCAGTTTGGTGGCGCGAAAAAAACAACATTGAGATCTCGCTTTCTGAAGCACAAACACTTTATGGCATTACAGACACCGTGCCTCAGTGTCTTGGTTTAAACCTCTGCTTGATAATTGCAAAATACTATATTTACACCGCGTCTAAAAATGAGGAAGATTATTTTTTCGACGCTTTTTTGTCTATCCTTAAAAATAAATACAAATTGAAACTAGCAAAGCAAAGGTGCAAGTCAAGCTGTAATAAACTACGTCGCCATAAACAAACATTAGGAAAAATTGCCACCACAGTAGATGAAAATTTGTCATGATCAGGGTTGCAATGACATCGGAGTTGTCATAGCATCGAAATCACGCCGTTACCTATTTTACTTCAGCAAAATTAAAAATTCTCGGCACTGGGAACCTTACAAAATCTTTCACAGGAGCTTATTTCGCCAATACGGTCTTCACGATGTTTGCAAAGTTTAAGCAAAATCTATAAGAGCTTTACTGAGATAGTTAGGGATGAAGTCTTTACCGTTAGAAATACGGTATCTGTAGAAAACGAAGCGCTTTTGACATGCAATTTCACCTCATAGTAGTTTTAATCTTTTTAAAAACGTGTGTGAAAGATCGGGGAGATAGCTCTGCCCGATTGCTAGAAAGAAGGATTTGATTAGTATATATCGCGGCGCTCTTGTTAGCGGTTTTGTAAACATTTCGGTCTACTTTAACAATTAAGATTCTTCTCGTAATTCAAACTGAGAATTAGTCAGCCACTCCTCCGTTTTCAGACCTACCCTGTTCTTCAAGTGGAGATGATTCTAGAAAGTTATGCGAAAGTTTATTCTAATCAATTCATGACTGGATAGCCCATTCCAGCTAGTGCAGTGCAGCACGGTGCCCAACAATAACAAAAAAATAAATGTGAAAATTACTCATCACATGTTAGGCGATTACTGTCTCGTGTGAATGTAACTGTATTATTACGCCGACTTCAGGTTAATATTCAGGTCTTCAAAATAATTAAATAAACATGGAGACGTCTTTAAAAACAGGCTTTGCCCAAATTTTCTCTTGCTGCCCAAAAAATCTGAGTTGCCCAAAATTTGGGGGGGCTGCAGCCCCCTCGCTCCCCTCGCCCCCCGCCCCCCTCGCCCCCCCGCCCCCCTCGCCCCCCCTCGCCCCCCTCGCCCCTCGCCCCCCTCGCCCCCCCGGTCCGTACGCCTATGGTTTACTCTATATAAACTTGGAAATACCTGCAAATAGCTCCTGACCGGTGATCAAAACAGGAGCCCACCACTATGGCATAAATTTCAACTGCTTATCAGCAAATAAAATAATTCCTTCCGAGTGGTTGCGTCGGGTGTTCCGCAAAACAAACGTTATCGATTCAACAGATATATTTATCGTTTAAAAAATATCCGTCAAAGGTAGATCGTTGACTGGAGAACCTTAATAGACAGAAATGAAAGCCAGATGACCACATTAAAGGCCACATTTCATACGTTTGTAGGATCACTGACAACAACGAACTTGGCTTCGTACGGTTCTCCTCAATGACTTTGAATTTTCTCGATAATTAACTTGCACAAAAATACAAAATATGGCGTTTAAAACTTCCCAAATGGAGCAAATAGCTCTTGAATACTGATATTATGGCTTTCTCGGGCGTCTCAGGCTCGATGGAAAGAATTCGTTCACCAAACGCCAATCTTGAAAAACTGTTCGCTGGAATAGAAATCAAGTTGCCGCACATGCGCAGAAGCCCATCTCCCTTTAAGCAACTCTCCTGGGATATAGTCTTAGTGCTGTAAACTGCGGTAATTACAAGCAGGGATGGCTCAGGAATTCAAAAGCTTACGGCTGATAATTGTTATGTTAATCAGGAAGAGTAGTGAAAGCCAACTTGCCACTCTGATACTTGGCTCCCATCAAACTTCCGTTCTCTGTCACATGGGAGATTTTGGATGCGGAGATGGAGGATGGACACCAGTCATGAAGATGAACGGTAACGAGGTACTATTTCATCCTTTTTACTCTCAGAGTGCATATGTTGGGATCTTACCTGGCGGTCCTAACAATTTTTGTAAGAAAGTACTACCAATGAAAGAGTGTATTTACAATTTTTTTGGATAGTTCTATTTTGTTTCCCAGCATTTTGCGAAATAAAATTGTTAGTTTTTTTTTTCAACTTTGACTTGTTATATTTATTTAGTTAAGCTTATTTTATTTATTTTGTGTAAGTTATTGGATCGTTCGGATCACTGTGCTGGTAAATAATGCACTCGGTCAGAATAAAGCATATTATTATTCATTCAAAAAATTTCCCACATTCTGATTGGCTAAAAGCACACCCATAATTCACCATAACCAGTTACGGATGACCAAATTTGGAAGAATTTTGTGTTTAACGAGGAAATGACGACAAAAATGCAGCGTTTTGGCAGGTTAAAGGAACCGTTAACCGAGAAGACCTGGGGAGGAGGTTGAGTTGTTTTGGTCGTGACAAGAAAAAAATGGTGGACATTTCACTCGTTTCAAGAGTAAGAACTAGGCGAAATTATAGCTAAAAACATGGCAAGAACAGCAAGAACACAACTCGAAGGGCGACAGCTGCTATTTGAAGAATATTTGCAGAGCTGAAAAACCCTAAGCGTGCACTATCGAAGGTGAACTTAACATTGATGGAGGTATAAGCATGTTTTAGCTTTATTTTTAAACTAGGAATTATTTTGAATTGAATGAATAATAAAACAATTATTGAATTCGGCTTTCGTATCATATGAAGAATTATGGAGATCTTGGAGGGTGTTATCCGCCTCGGCCTACGGCCTCGACGGATAACACCTTCCTTGATCTCCATAATTCTTCATAAGATACTCAGCCTCATTCATTAATTGTTAAATAAACTTCGATGGCAATGAAAACGTCAAAAATCAATTGGTTTATTCATATTACTCAAAACCTAATACTTCATGATGCTGAAACCCAGATATGCTTCAAACGCCGTAGTCTCCATCTCCTTCATCTTAACCTCGCTGAATTTCAATTGCTTTATAACTACTCCGGATAACATTCTTGTTATAAATGCTATGGGGATTGAACATTCAAAGTATAGTAAGTGAAAAAGATTGCGAGGTATCGTGATTGTCGATGAGAGAACAATAATTATCTACTCAAAGAAAGGTGCAAATTGATATTAGAAAAAAGTATTGAAGTACATGAAGCTTTATTTGCACAAAAACTCAACATTATAGTTCCTCTGTTGATCTCCATTTTTCTACTTTGAAGCAAACCTTTCACTTCAATTCTGACCTCTGGAGTAACAAAAAAAACTTTAATCTCGACGGTGGGAAGACTGGATTTGACTCACAAGAAACCAAACTTCCCTCCTACTGGAACACATCCTTCTCCAAGATCTGCCTTGGTATGAAGATCGGCCAGCATATCAAGTTTATTGTCATCAACCAGCAGGCGAATTCATTGCACTCTCTAATTGCCGACGGAGTATACCACGCTACCTCACTGGGTCGTGACACGTGGAAGTCACTGATTGGTTCTCAGGGCTCCTTACAGCGCAATTGTAACAAGGAGGGTTCAACGTAGAGGGTAATATTGACTATTCCAAAGCGAGAATTGGTATCATCGGTAATGAACAAGGAAACTGTGATTCAGCAGACTCTAGAATCGGGTTCGGTACTGGAGGATATCCCGAGACCAGGAACACGTGTGGAAATGAGGCTAAACATGAAGGAGACAACGACAACAAACAGATAAGAGCCATGGGGTACATTTTAGTGCAGTGAAAAGCACTCGACGACTCACTGTCATCTACCTTTGTTTTACTGAAATATGTTGGGTTTAATTAGCTTTTTAAGAACTTGCCAATTTTTTTCTTATTATCACCTATGGACAAAACTTTGATTGAAATTCCATTCCGTGTACAGTATTAGTACACCACTGACTATAACATAACTTTAAGGATGCGTTCCATTGGGAAATCTGGATTTAGATTTCGAAATCCTGATTTTCGATTAGGAATAAAACACATGAAATCCAATAACGGATATCAAGACCGAGATATCTGTCCTTGAATTTCCCTTCCTTCCTTCGTTCCTTTCTTTCTTTTTTTTTTTTTTTTTTTGTGAGTGTGAGGCTGTTGGGGATGTAGGCGAGGGGAAAATCCGAGTGTTGTTGTGAACAGCGGTCCTCCACGCGCAGGCTTAATTAACAGAAAGAAAACAGATAAGGGGTATGCAAATCCTTTTTTTCTAGTTTCCTAATAAAACAAAGAAGAAGGAAATCCAAAAAAATAGAGGGTTGTAATTCTTAATTGAAATCCACCTTCTTAATTTAAGAACGGATTTCGGTTTTTTTATTTGTGAAGAGGACTGGGTAAGAATGCCTAAAATCGATAGGAATCGAAAAAGTAGACCGTTTCCCTGACAATGGTAGTCTCCTTTGCAGTCCTTCCTTGGGTCGTCACGTACCCAACGCTCTTCCCACAGGAGCGTTGTGTGACGACACTTAAAACGGCTGCGCAGGAGATATCACACCAGTTCACTTATCACGTGATAGAGATCTTTAGATTTGAGGACGAGGAGGAATACAAGTTAAGGACGAGATTCAACTTAAAGTTTTGCCGTATAATCTCAAAAAATATACACCCCAGACAATACAGACGCTGCAAGTCAGCACTGTTATTCAGTTTATCAAAGGAGGCTAAACCTTTTCCCGATCCCAAAATAATGAATGAGCTTCAAACTGTTGAAAACTTCTAGCTTTTCCTCACTGCGACTGTTTTTGATTAAACTCAAAGTAGATGGGTACTCTCTCTCTCTCTCTCTCTCCCTCTCTCTCTCTCCCTCTCCCCCCCTTCCTCTCCCTCCCCCTCTCTCTCCCCCTCTCCCTCCCTCTCTCTTGCCTCGAAGTTGAGTTAGAATGACGACGGCTAGCGATCACGTTTTCCAACCAAATTTCGTGCAAATCACTTAAGATTGTACCTGTGGATTGATGATGCCTTAAGTACTGGGGGATGGAGGCGGTTAGTCATAAATCGGGATAGGGTACCCAAAAATAAATATTCAACTATCACAGTCCATGGCTGCCACTGTCCTTCCACTGTCCGAGTGATATGGCTGTACGCATGCATAAGGTACCGGCTATACGGCGGACTTGGTAGTGTGCTTTAGTGCTGAAATTGGTATATCTATATATGTACTTGGTGTAAAAGAAACATGTATTAAGAAGACCCGTTGAAACCATTTTCAATAATTGTTATCAGGTGTCAGTTTCATTTCTGGGCCTTAAAAAGAGTTTTAATTTGAATTAGTTCCTCTACACGATGGTCAGGTCAGTGAGGAACCTTTTCGACAAACAATTATCCAAACCCTTCACCATCCCCACGGTCCCCACGCTCGCGTAGACGATTTTATTTAGACAAACGGGTGTTTCAAATTAAGTTCCCTGCTTCGTTGTCTTTTATGTTTTTCCCGGGGGGAGGTACTCCTGTATATGGGCTAGAGAGTTATGTTCCGCTCGATAGGGTAGGGTAGCGTTTTTGAGGGTCTCCATCCTAAAAACAGGGTATCATTCTTGCCCTTGTTTGCGTTGTGCTCCCTTTGTGATTCTTAGAGAGTTATAGGGTACCATTTCTATATCAGCTAAGATTCAAGTGCGTAAATGCTCAGCTAGACTAGAAACAAATCATCTGTTAACAGTGGACTTTACCTTAGAATATTGGAAAGAGATTAAAATAAAGAAGATTTTTGTGTTTCCACTGATTTCTTAGTTTTTGCTTTTCCCTTTGAATCGAGACTCATTTTTCAGGTTTGGTTCTTAAATACTGTAGGGTATCAGTTTTCGTTCGTCATATCCGTAAACAGGGCCAGGTTTTAAGACTCTGGGCGGCCCACCTATCCGAAATTTATGGGAATACCCCCCGGGGAAGACTACAAGTCTAACAAAACAGATGTTCATTGTTTCGTATCAATGCAAGGGGTCTCAAGGTAATATCTGTTCATTAGCGAACAATCTACAGTAGTATACTTTGCGCTCGTACGCTTCAATCGCAAAGATACTTTGGCCTCGGTGTCACAGCGGTACCAATTTGTTTGGTTTGCTGTTTTTCTACTATGTTGATGTGTGCGTCTATAGGGAATAACTCTGTAAAGTATAAGCTTTACAGTATTAAATTGCACTATCCAGCACTAGAAATGATCACAAGCAAAGGCGAGGTAATAGAAATCTAGAAAGTGCTAGGTTACTTCGCCCAACGCATGGTTGCCTGTTCTAATTTAAAGGGACAGTGTCCCGATTATGCGCACGCGCGAGCGTCATCTGTTTTTTCTTCAAAAGACAATAGAACTGTCATATTGACTTGACAAGATTTCCTTCCGGACCGCACCGCCGACGGAGATTTGTTGTTTATATTCTCAAGTAATATTTTAGAATTTAGAATTTCAAAGAAGTCTTTCGTCTTATATAAAAATTTGGCTCGCGGTTCGAAGACCTATCGCGATTTTATCGCTAGCTGGGCCGCCTCGCGACCCGAAAATCTCGTTCCGCTCGCTTTAAATACAGATTTCCTAACTTGAAACTCGTGTCAGAGGTCAGTTGTTCCAAGTCTAGTAATATCTGCCTGATTTGCTCGCGTTCTAGCCTCAAACGTTTGAAAGACATAAATAAAAATGCAATCTCAACGCTATGAATCATCAGAAAGGTTAGTCAAAAATTACATTATGATTTCATGACACTAGTTTTTCTAAACATGTAGCGCCTCTTTGTTTGATTTTGTCGGCCGTTAGGGAGATTCATTTTAAAAAGTTTACAAACGCGTCGTTGCAAAACATTCTGCTTCACGAAGCTCCCCTCCACAAGATCTCCACAGTCACATCAATGTCTCAATGGTTTCTTTCTTACAGTCTTTATTGTTGCCGTTTCATTTCTGCGTATTCCTTTCACAATTATCTGAGCTTGTATGGAAGCTAGCAGAAGAAATAAACCTTCAATCAGCATCAAAGTGCCTCCAATCTTTTGGTCCTCCGGCCAACGGCAATAAAAGTAACGCCAAAAAATCCAGATTTTGCCCAAATCGAAACTTAACAGGAACAATATATCATTGATCTGTAATCCTGAGAAGTTTTAGTGTCGTATTGAACCCGGTCAAGAGCGATGCAAACGGATTTTTCAAGGTTCTCTTACTCTCCTCGCATCTTTTGATTTCTCGACATCCTGTCCAAAAATCAAAGTTTGGTGCATGCGCAGTAACGGGATACTGTTCCTTTAAGGACGATGATCACAGGTGTGAATAAGTAATGAATGCCATGATCAGTTAAAAATTAGGTTTTTTGCCACCAACAAACAATTGGTGTCTCCATGACAACAATAAAGTAGCAACCCAAACAAAGTGAACTTTTAGACATCCCACCACAATATCTAATTGCATGCAAAATTTGAGGGAGGGGGGGGGGATTTTTCATTTCCCACTTTGTTTGACTGTTACAGAGAATTGCTCTTAAGTTACTTATCATTAAGTTAAGGAAGTTCAAATCTATCATTATTTATTCAATCTGTCAAAACTTTATCTCCCGTTTCACTTCTTTTTAAAGTTCTTTTTATCTGCTCTTTTTTTGTTATTACATCTTCAGAGAGGGTTCTTATTTTAAATTCATTTCGTTCCTCTTCAGAAAGTTCTTTACGCATAATCGATAAGAAAACATTCCTCTCAGCGAAATTCATGGTATCCATCGTCACTTCTGTGAGGATGGATAATTGTGCAATGACGTAACTCGAGTACATAAGCCTAGTCAAGATTGTCACCCGTTAGTCAGTCATATGCACGCTGCTATCACGGTCAAGTTCATCTTGTTTATAGCAGCGAGCGTATGACTGACTAACGTGTGATAATGACTAGGCTTATGTACTCGAGTTACATCTTTGCACAATTATCCATCCTCACAGAAGTGACGATGGATACTTAGCACGTGGCGCAACAGAATTAGCGTCCTCCAGGACAGCCTCTTTCGCAGACGCGCCCGACTGAAAACCATTGCCAACATCTCGCGGTGATTACGGAAGCACGGCCTACTGCGACTGTACGGTAACTCTGCCGACGAAACGGCAGCAGGCCGTGCTGCGGAGAACTTTCCTGGCCCGCTTTTCACTGACACTCTTTGAGAACTGACAACTTTGCATATATTATTCGGGTTTATATAATGCTTAATACGTCATCGCACGGGGCAATTAACAATTATTCCTCGAGCCCGAATGGGCTATTGACTCAGAGGCCATGAGGGCGAGAGGAATAATTGTTTTTTAGTAAAATCCAACTAGTTGGTCAAAAATATCGAGACAAAACAGGTTTAGCTAGCAAAACGCGATTGAGCCGCCATTGTTTTGGTTTTCAAAGCCGGCGCTTTTCGCTACTGGTGTGCTATAACATATCTGCCTAGTAGTAGCTCAACCAATCAGAACGCAGCATTGATAATAGACCACTGGTTGGATTTTACTAATGAATATTACATGACTGTGAATACTTATATTTTCAACAGATGAAAGCGAAAAAAGAGGGCTAATTGACATAAAATTTATGTTAAAGAAAAGTAATACTGCCACCATTTTGGAATAGAATGTTACCGTGAAAGGGTCTATTAAAGTTGCAGAAACGTTTGTCTTAATGGACTAAGACCGAAAAAGGATAACTCTTTGATATGAATGTTTTACCTTGAACACAATGTTTTAGTGTGTATAGCTGAAATGGATCCATATTAAGACCAAAGATTGAAACAATAGGCGACCACGTAATTCTCTGGTGTTGCAGTAATTAAAGTATTGAATTTAACAGGTATTCACTAATACGAAGCTTTGTGTAGAAAACGGAGAATTTCGCTTTCTTAACAGTTTTGATAAATTCGTAAGCTATATGGAACTTGCAAATAAATGAAGGGACGTCTTTTTGGACTAATATGGTTAAATTTTCAACAGCTGATCAAGGCGAACAAAGAGGGATAACTGATTTACATAAATATTAAAGAAATGTAATGTTGCCCTCCTTTTGGAATAGAATGTTATAATAAAACTCCATAAACATTTACCTTTGTGACTTTATGACAGAAGATCTAGAAATACCAAGAACTCTCTTGGAAATAATCCATGCTTAATTATTGCATGTATATATATATCTTTAAATAAGATTACCCATACTTTTACGCGGTCTCGACGCGTAGGCTTTCGATAACGTTTAAAAAGCTGTATACAAATGAATTTAGAAAAGTTTTTTTCGATCCAATCATTTTCTCAGCCGTTGTAAGAACACGGCCGAGGCGGAAAAGTGGCACGCACTGAACTGATGCATTCAACTTCCGGAAATTAAGCTGTCCTCAGTTGTGTCCTTTGTCCACTGCATACCGTTCTTCTCAAGATCTAAACTGAGAATAACAGTTAAAAAAAAAGGGAAAATGAGCTTGTTTACCAACTAAATGCGACAATTACTCATTTTACAAATGCATGATAAATAAATAAAAGTAAACGAATGAATAATTATGCACCTCCGGCTGTTTCGATTTTTGGCATTCTTCTAAGTATGCACCAATTATTCTGCGCCATCGTGGTCGGTTCGCTGCCCTTGAAGTTGCTGAGTTTATAGAGTATAAAGTGATATTCTTTGGTATTTTACGTATTAAGCTAAATTTTTCATTTCGCCTTTTTCATTTCTCTGTGCTCACAGCTTGTTATTTCTCCTGGAACAAAGCCATAGGTGGAAGAAAATATCCTCGTGTCAATTTCTATTTCCTTATGGCTTTTCATTGGTCAGAAACCTCAGAGACGCAAATAATTATCGATATACAAAAGCGGCTGCCTGTTGTTTGCGGCCCTATGCCTTCAACACCCAAGTTGGCATAACAGAGTGGAGTGAAGATTTCTTCCACGGAAGTAGGAAAGGATTTTATTCAAACGTTCAAAGTGCTTTATTCGTTATGTTTTTCGTTCTTATTGTCCTGTGGACTTCAATGACGTCGTTCTGTCTAATTCAAGGGCAATTCTGCAGTGGAGGTAAGCCTGTTTGTGGGATGTCTGACTGGCTAGACAGGGAACATCTTATTTTCGCGAAAACTGTTTTCATCTAGTGATAAAATAAAAAGATGACATTAATAGAAATCAACTATAATATTTTGATTTACATTAATTTCGGGTAGTTCGCCAAGTTCATTGTCTTAAATAGACCCTACTACGCGAAATTTTACAGACTTTTGTATGGTGGGGGGCCCGAACTTGCCCCCATCATACATTAACGTCTGTAAAATTCGGCGACTTTACAGAGTTATATCTTCGTTAGTTTTGGACAAGTCACCTTCAAACTTAAGGCAACTTTCAGTATTGATTTCAAGACGTTCTTTCTAGTAGTGTTGACGTATTTGCGCTAACTATTGAAGATGCAGAAACATTTGTCTTAATGGACTAAGACCGAAAAAGAGTACCTCCTTGATATGAATATTTTACCTTGAACTTTATGTTTTAGAGTGTGTATAGACATGGATCCTTTTTTATACCAAAGATTTGAAACAATAGGCGACCACGTAATACACCCTCTGTCTGGTGTTGCAGTAATTAAACTGTCGAATTTAACAGGTGACTGTTCACTAAATACAAAGCTTTGTGTAGAAAACGGAGTATTTGGCTTTCTTAACAGTTTCAATAAATTCTTGTATATGGAACTTGCAAAAAAATGAAGTCTAAAAGAGACTTTTTTCTGGACTAATATGGTTACGTTTTCAACATCTGATCTAGGCAAACGAAGAGGGCTAATCAAAGAAAGGCGAAAGTTTACCCATATTGCTATGCCGTCTCGTCGCGTAGGCTTTCTGTTGAACTTTTAAAAAGCTGTATACAAATGGATTTAGAAAGGTTTGTTCAGATCCAATCATTTTCTCAGCCGTTGCGAGAACACAGCCGAGGCGGAAGTTCTTTGGTAATTTAGGCAAGCTAGTTTTCATTTCCCCTTTTTCATTTCCCAATGGGCCTTTGGGGAAAAAACAAAAAACAAAACAAAAATGCTTGTTAATTCTCCTGGAGCAAAGCCAGTGGTGAAAGAAAATATCGCCGTGTCTATTATTTCTATTTCCTTATGGCTTTTCATTGGTCAACAACCTCAGAGACGCAAATAATTATCGATATACAGAAGCAGCTACGCTTGTTGTTTGGGGCCCCATGTCGTTAACATCCGCCAAGTTGGCATAACAGAGTGGAGTGAAGATTTCTGCCACAGTAGTACTAAAGGACATTTTATTCAAGCGTTCAAAGTGCTTTAGTCGTTATGTTTTTCGTTCTTATTGTCCTGTGGACTTCAATGACGTCGTTCTGTCTAATTCAAGGGCAATTCTGCAGTGGAGGTAAGCCTTGTTTGTGCGGTGCACTATATAGCTAGACAGGGAACATCTTATATGCGCAAAAACTGTTTTCATCTCAGTGATAAAGTAAAAGACAACATTAATAGAACTCAATTTAGTTGATGATTTACATTAACTTCGCTTAGTTCGCCAAGTTCATTGTTTTAAATAGACCCTGCCACGGTTTAGTTTTTTCCAAGTTTTTGTAAAGACCAGTTAGCAAATATCCATTGATACTTCTGGAAAGAGCGGCGTAAAATTAGGAAACTTACCAAGTTTAAATGTACGACAAAGTCGCGAAATTTTACAAACTTTTGTATGGTAGGGGGCCCGAACTTGCCCCCATCATACATTAACGTCTGTAAAATTCGACGACTTTTCAAAGCTATATGTCTTCGTTAGTCTTCCACAAATTACTTTCAAACTAGGCAACTTTATTGGTTTTAAGGCGTTGTTTATTGTTTCACTAACTATTGAAGTTACAGAAATATTTGTCTTAATGGTCTAAGAGCGAAAAAGGATACCTTCTTGATATGAATATTTTACCTTGAACTGTTTGTTTTAGTGTGTTTATAGGCATGGATCCTTTCTTAGACCAAAGATTTGAAACAATAGGCGACCACGTAATATTCTCTCTGTCTGGTGTTGCAGTAATTAAACTGTCGAATTTAACAGGTGACTGTTCACTAAATACAAAGCTTTGTGTAGAAAACGGATCCTTTTTTAGACCAAAGATTTGAAACAATAGGCGACTGCAAATACCCCGGGGCAAATACTCAGTCTATTTGGTTTTGCATAAAGCATGGAAATTAACAGGTGTTCACTAATACACAGCTTTCTGTAGAAAACGGAGTATTTGGCTTTCTTAGCAGTTTAATAAATTCTTAAGACATATGGAACTTGCAAATAAATGAAGAGACCTCTTTTTGGACTAATATGGCTCGGTCGGTTAATGCTTAATTTGCAATTTCATGTAAGCCTTTAGCAAGGGGAAATTAGCCTACTGAATAAGATCGTGTTGCGTTCAAGCCGAATCTAAGAAAAGCTAACTGCATTTATTAAACTTAAAATTATTAAGATGTCGTGTGTCTCCAGTGTAAGAAGTCGAAAATTAAAGAAAACCGTCTGATATTTTTTCCCGAATTTGATCATCTGAGAACAAAACATAACAGGCCAAAACGGAATTTATTGACAGCTTAGCTGAGCCTTTGGCTCGACTGTGCGCCCTTACCTTGTTTTTTGTGTCGCTGCAAAACCGTGGCCTCGATCGAGGATCATATCACATACAAGGTAAAAAATAAATCGTGAAATCATTTCAATATCCACCTGGCTTAAAGATTACAGGTTGGCTTTCGGAATAATTACTCTCGTTTATCGAAAAAACAAACAAAAAAAAATTATCACGAGTTGTCTCTAGTAAGTGTTTATGATATTATTTCAACTAGACGAACAAGTTTAAACAAAGAAAGGGCTAACAAACAAGACTTAATTGAAAGTTATGTATTTTATTAACGTTCAGGATGGAATTTCTATCTTCTATTAGTATATCTACTCGAACGTCTGTTGTACCTTAAAGAAAAGGTGCCACGAAAATTAAAGCCGCCAAATTTAGTGACCCATATAAAAACCTTTACTTATTTTAAGTTTTCTGTCTGCTAGGAGTACTTAGCTAAAACTGTGGGCCTAAAATGATTGCGATTACGTCACACCTTGCAAAATATTTGTCCGCCCCGTTTCCTAGGCTTATAACCACGAGTTTTGCAGTTCCTATACGCAAATCCGTAGGTATACTGTGTTTTGTGTTCAATTTAAAATTCAGATCGTTTTTAGGTATATATACACAGTCAGGTACTCTTAGTTGTACCGTAAAACGCCCTGATGAAGTGTGCGCTAGTCACACGAAAAGCGTAGGGGACAATAAAACAGTTTTACAACTCAGTGCTGCTCACTGGTTTATCCTTTTAAAAATATTCTTTACAACCTCTTGACAGGCAATGTAGGAAAGCAGCACATAGGAAAAGGATGGAACAAAGCGGAAATATTCGAACTTGTTCAAGGGAAGACATTTTTATTGCCTAAAGATCCATTTGAAAACATTAAGGCGATTCTTATCTGAAAGTTAATTGGCAGCTCTATCGAGTTAAATAGTAAAATATGTTCAGTGCCAAAAAAAAAAATTTTGAACAATTTATTTGGGTGTAACAATTATTTTTTAAGCGACTCGGGTATAGTTCATCGGGGTAGGAATTTATCATCTTGGGGCATCAAAAACGCTATCTGGAGTCATTATTGTGAACCTGTTGTCGTCTAATTGTTGCTTTCGCTTTTTGCTTTTGGCGCGGTGTGTTCTGTAGCACCTTGTAATAATCGTCGAACTTTGAAATACCTGTCGCACTTTTTACTTAAAAATATGTAGAAATTTGTAGTAACAGACCTAAACCCACTAATAAGTACAGTCGACTCCCGATAACTCGAACCCTCGCTAACTCGAACCTCGCGCTAACTCGAACCTCGCGCTAACTCGAACCAAAATCGATTTGCCCTAGTTTTCCGTCATACATTCCCTGTAATTTTACCCTCGCTAACTCGAACCCTCGATAACTCGAACTCCCGCTAACTCGAACCAATTTTCGTTTCCCCTCAGGTCATTTTCTATATAATTTTGCCCTCGATAACTCGAACCATGTTCTGAGCCCTTAAAAAGTCGCGAAAAAAAGCCGTCTACTGGCGTCCGAAACATTGAATTTTGGATTTCCTATTGACGTTTTGTAGGAGTATAGTTTACTAGTGGAGGCTGATGTTGATTGTCACAGGCTAACGTGAAGCAGCTTTACTTCTCAAAACAGTAAAACGCATGCTCCATTTAGGCTATGTTTTGTTACGTTACGTTCTGATTTATAATCTAGAAGTATCTTTTAATTTTCACTTGACATTTCTACAATTAAATGTGATTAAAATGTTCACGGTGCTCTACAAACTGTTTTTTACCTTACTCTCGGCTATTTTCTCCGAGCTCTCGTTAACTTGAACTCCCGATAACTCGAACTTTTTTCGATTTCCCTTGAAGGTTCGAGTTATCGGGAGTCGACTGTATCATCATCGATAACAACAACAATAATAAAATAACCATAACAATAACAACAATAACAATAACAATAATAAAAATAAGTAAACATTCCACTGAACGGTTTTCAGCACCCTTTTCTCAAGTGAGGGTGGAGAAAAGTGTTCACATCAACTGCAGCCTTCCGGCTTCAAGAGCTTTGTAGGGAAGTAGAGCTTTTTCTATGTGGACGACCTCGAGACCATGAGATTGTGTCCCAGTAACAGCGAGAGTCCGTAATAATGGGAGTTTGAATTAGAATTTAGCTGCTATCCGTATTATCGGGTTGTCCATAAAAGTAAGGTGTCCCTCTGGCGAAAGGTGATTGTATAAGCAAAATATTTTGAAAGTTTTACTCGTAGCATGGGCAAGATTACCTGCGAGGATATGACCAGATATATCGAGATTTTAGAGGTTATCGCCATGAAAAACCACTATACTAGTCTTACATAAGACCAAATTAGTATAAAAACCACAAACTTCGTGTACAATGCGGTGCTACGATCATTATCATAATCATCATCATCATCATCATCATCATCATCATCATCGTTATTCTATAGTTACTATATTATCTGACTAAAAAGTTCTTTACCATATTTGCCCACGCGGCATTCATTTGCCACAATGACTACTAATTCTAATTTTATATCATGAGCGGCTTTGATATAAGATAGGGACTTTAAGATCCAACGACGCGACGGCGACAAGAATGTTGCTAAAAAAGTGAATTTGCCTTCTTTCAGTCTTAATAGCGATTATTCCTAACCACTTACTTGGTCAAATGTAGGCGAACGCTCCTGAAACTGAATTTCAAGGGACCATATTCAAGCTCCGAAAGAGAAATAAAATTTCGTCGTTGCTTGTTTACGTCCTCTATAAAACGCGAAATTAGGCATTTTCACGTCGTAGCCGTGCAAAAACGGGAAAGAAATGTACAAAATAGTGTGATGCACGTGCGAAGTTGTTGTTTTGCTTATTAAACTTAATGTATTTTTGACGTTCTCGTTGTCGTCCGCGTCGTTGGATCTTAAAGTCCCTAATAATCACCAGCGTCATCATCTTAAAACATCCTCGATAATACTAGCAATAAAGCTATTATTACTGTTATTATTGTTGTTATTGTTGTCGATGATGATGCTTATTATTGGGTTTACTTGTCCCCCGACCATCCATTTCAAGTTCATTACATTAAGTGCGACAGCTTATTTTACGACAAAGTGCGACAGATTTTTTATTGCAAAGTGCACCAAGTGTTATTACTAGGTGCGTCAGGTATAACAAAGTGCGACGATTATCACAAAGTGCCACAGAACATGGTGTAAGAAAATTAATGTTATCAACTTATTTTGTTGAATTTCTTCTTCAAATCATTCAAATTTTTATTTGCTTCTTTTTTTACATCATGCTTAAGTTTTTGCAAAAATTAATTTTCTTCAAGTGAGTTATCGTTGGCGTGGGAGTCTCCGGCGATTCGCAGAAAGCCTCAATCAACAATCAGTCTTGAATTGAATATGAGGTCTTGCATTAAACGTCAAGCCATTTTCGGTGAGCTCATTTATTTCCTATTTGTCTCAGACATATGTCGCCAGATAGAGTTTGATCACTCTTTTGATGGAAAACGCCTGAAAAATCACGTGATTCGTACTGCTGAGGTCCAGAGTGAACGATCCTGTCGGACTTTGTGCTACATGGAACCAAACTGCGTCAGTTACAACTTTAACAAAGTCACAAGGAAATGTGAGCTGAATAATTCCACCTCAAGAGAAGGAGAGGAAAATATGGAGTCGAATCCAGGTTATGTATACTGTGGAGCTAAGGTATGCAAAGTTTTACAAATTATGAAACTTTGTAAAAAAACGAAATGTTACTTGTTTGGATCGAGGATTGTTTGCGAGTGCTGCAATTATGGTTCTATCACTTTCTGAAGTAATGCAGCCTTGGGGGTCGCTACTGTCAACTTTTTAGAAAACTTAATGAAAGTTTTCCAAAACAAATGTAATTTGAAGACAGGTTTTGCCCGCCTGCATTAATTAGTTCTAATGGAATGATTTCTATGTCCTTGATCGAATGATCTGGAAGGGAGAAGTGTTCTGAAACGGTGGTAGGATGATTAAATTGATATAGATTTCTGGCTTTTTCTATGGAGCGTCGTTGCTCTCCAAATCTGTCACTGAACTGGCGTTTAGTTTCGCCGATGTATTGCATGTTACATTTATTGCACTGGATCATGTAAATGAGATTGGAAGCTGAACAGGAATTGTGGTGTGGGATGCGTCGTAATTTCGTTGGTTGAGTAGAAGGTGTGAGACGTGGTTCCAGGGGCGGATCTAGCGGAGGGTGCGGTGGCTGTGCACCCCCCCTGGGATGACCTGCGGTTTTCTAACACAAATGGTATTCTGCAAAAAAAACCAAAAAACTATGTGGTTTATTGGTGTTGAAGTGGAGCAAGAGACGAGTGCACGCCCTCCTAAAAAAAATCCTGGATCCGCCCCTGGGTTCCTTCTGTAATAAAAGGACACTTCTTGCACCTACTTCTGTTACAGCGGAAAGCTCCATGTGTTTTGGGGGATGGTCTGCGGTGTTTGGCTCTGACTAGGATGTCGCGTAGACTCAGTGCAGCGGCGAAAGGATAGGATACTTTCAGAGAGCCATGCTATAGGGTCAGAACGTCTTAATTGCTGAGTTATGAAATCAGAATGTCAAATTCATTATCAAATTCATATACGTTCAAAGAAAATTATCTAACAAAAAATTAGCTAAAGTATTATAAAAATTAGGGATGTCTTATTTCTTTTCGTGTCCCTAGAACGCTTGTGCAAATAGGCCTTGCAAGAACAAAGCAACTTGTCAAACCGGTTTTACTGGTAAAGGATATCACTGTTTGTGTCCAGTGGGATTTGAAGGGGATCATTGCGAGAACGGTAAGTTAATTGAAATCTTTGTCTAGTCCAAATATTGTAAATTGTAGCAAATAAATAAGGGGCAATATCACAAGAGGTTTCCCAAGTTTTCGCGCAAACTACTGTATTATTTACTGTTAGGCGCCCTGAGCGCTTATCAAATTTTCCGATTTTCGTGGGCGCGTATGTGGTGGGCGCTTGTTCGAGGCTGGGCGCTCATTAAATTTTCATTATTTTCAGCAGGTAGTAAGTGAATTTTTTAACAAAACTGTAAATAATAAGAGACTTGAAGATGCACCAGAACAGAATTTCGACTGTTCATTGAAAGGTAATTAAAAGAAAACTCGGTCTTCCGGGAAGTCTCTTTTAGTACCTATTAATTCAATTTCTATCTCATTGTCAATCAGCGAACTCTCTGGTGTTGGCTCGTTGAGATGTCTCACAGCGTAATGTCTACAAATTGGTCAGTTAACGAGAAGCAAATAGGGCAGTAAAGAAGTATAAACCAATACTCTTCTTATCCACTCAAGTTTTTGTTCGGTCGGGGGGTAGTTAGCTAGAATTTATTTTTTCCCCACTACTTTTCTACCTGTCCTCAGTTATAACCATTTTAAAGAGTTTTCATGTCTGTGCTAGTGTATGGTACATGAAGACGGAGACAAAATAATATCACTTTTGTGACGGTATCGTGCACGAAAGTGTCTCTTTGTGAACCACATTTAGGATGGGATTGATTGGAAGTGGTGGTTTTTAACCTGGCTCGACTGATTTTTTTTAGGGGGGATACCTCCCAAGTTTGAGAATTAACTACGTAGCCATGAACAAAAGATATCGGAAAACGTTTACCACAGCTGTATTATATAAAGATGAAAATTTGTTATGGTTTGTGTTTTATCTTGACATCAGAGTTTCAATGGCAACGTAATGAGGCCATTAGGTTTATTATTTGCCTATGTATTTCTCGGTACCAGGAGTTTTTTTTTCGGAAATCGGTAAAGGGAGCTTTTACCTCCCTTCGCTGTCTCGATTATGGCAGAGTGTGAACAAATTTTATGAGACCGTTTTGGAAATTAAAAAATATTTAATTCGAAATGAGATTTAAAGATCATAGACAGGCAATAAACATGCCATCGACATAACTCGCTAATATCTAAAGAAAAGATGAACTCGGAAAATGGAGTTTCATCTCATAGTGGTCTGATTTTAGTTGAAACTGTGTACGAAAAAAAAGGGGAATTGCTTTGACCGATTGCGAGAAAGAAGAATTTGATTAGCTTACGTTCAGCTGCTTTGATACCATTTTTGTGAGTAATTTAGTCTACTCCAACAAATTTCATGTTAATTTTGAAACCGCTTGATAATTTTTTTTTCAAAAAAAACTTGGCAACGGCTTGTAGCTGCTTTCAACAACCTGATTTTGAGTCATTCGTTCTCTTGTTTTCTGCAGTACTGAAGTACTTAGGGTTTTCCTCAGCACCATGCATTTCTCGCGAGTTTCTCCCCATTAATATAACCATCATACTGACTATATAAACTTTCTTTTATAGACATAGACGAATGCGCAAAAAATACTCACAACTGCGGTGCAAATGCTTACTGCAATAATGCCAAGGGAGGATACAACTGCACTTGTCATCCGGGATATTATGGAGATGGAAAGAATTGTGAACCAGGTGGGTTAGCAGACTTTGTATCGACTTGCTAGGTCCTAGAGAAATTGAGTAAACAGACAATACCATGCATTGCCAGTCCTGGCAATCCAAAAAACACAATGTATTGGCCTGTCATATGTTTTAGCGTGGCCTTTTTGTTATAGATAGAATATGAACGCCATGTCTGACTGAAGACAGTACGTCTATACTGTCTAGTTCTTAAACAACAGAGGGTTGAAAAAACATACCATTACATGAGCTTTAAGGTTTTATTTTTAAACTGGTAAAAGAATCCTTAAAAAAAGTGCCGAAAGTAATGATTAAGAACTTCACAAACCGAACGTGAATATTCGTAGTGTTCATATGAGAATACCAACATTTATTATTATTCATTCAAAATATTTCGACGTTTCTGATGGTTGGCTCCCCCTCTTCATAACCAACTGGCGCGCTTACCCGTTGGAAGATGCGAGCAATATACCGTCGATTTGATAGCATATAATTATGTAATTGCTAAATATTCCCGTCGCTGTAGACACTGGTTGCCATTTTTGATTGGGAAGAATAACTATTTCCCCTTGAATTATTGTATACTGCATGTTTTACTCAAAATCTACATTAAAGCGCTCGGAGCTGCCTATCATTTCAGCGTGGAAAATATAATAACGCGCACGGTTATAAAGAAACTCTATTTATTACCGTCCTTCTTTTATTTTGTAACACAGTTTCATCGTGTAAAGACCTTTACAACAAGAAAATGTGAGTAAAGTATAAGTTCAATTTTTAGTCCATTAAAATCACAAACTTTTTTGGGGGGGACTGTGCAGTAATTATAAGGGGGGAGTTGCGGAACAGAAGGAGGTTGTAAAGGCAGAGTGCAGCAATATACCAAGAGAGTGTGGAAGGTATCTAAATTATTTATTGAAACGATGGGGGTGATATCTAGCTAATTTTCAAAAACAATTTATCAAATTTTCAAGTATGGAAAAGTAACATCAGTATAGCAAATGTTTGAAAGTTACATTATATGGAAATTACAAAGGGCATTACAGCTGATTATGCCATTCTTGGCAAATTAATTTGCGTCAAAAATTGCATAAAAACTCTCCGTTAACTGCTATCTCAGCTACTCCATGAAAGTAGTTGCACATTAATTCAGGTAAGCTTTATTGGCTTATTTATAGCTACGGTTGTAAAAATGGCAAACGTTTCCAAATCAACGTCCTCAGCTTAATAGACGCCATATAGTTCGGCAGGATCATATTCACCGTCTATAGCCATCGCCCCCACTGACATAAAGATGAGACACCTTTTCTCTTCCGGTTTCCACAGCCTTCTTTTTTTCTTCTTTCTTCCTTTGACTACTATCACTTTCTGTTATCACATCTGTAATAGTTTCTGTTTCTTCTGCCGTAAATAGGCCCTTGTTTGCATTGTAATGTGGCTTGGGATCGGTAATGATCTGAGGAAATACTGTACAGCTACATGCTGAATAGACGATAGTTAAAATTGTCACTACCCCATGGAGGAGGGTGTTATTTAACAGCATTAAAAAAAAAAGAAAAAAAAATTAAGAATGCCACGGTTCAGCGCATAAATTTTCCCGATGACTATGATTTTATTGTCTATTTTCAAATCTACTGGAATAACTCTTCCTTCTGAATCAACAAATTGTTTCACGATTGTTTTATAAACAAAATGCACACCACCTCTGGAGGTAAGTTAATTAGAAGTGTTACTAAAAATATTTGAGAAGCCCTATTCTGATGACCACAGGTATTCTACACTGAGTGGGAACAAAAAAGCAATAAACATAAACCTGAAAAGAGCACTTGGTTGACTACGCTGGGTATGATCACATACAGACAAAAGATACATATTGCCGGGTTTTCAGTGTCACTCCAACCAAAACAGATCGAATTAAAAGTCAAAACTGTTACATACAGCATATAAAATCCAGAATCTTGGAAATGAAAGGAGGTAAATATGCAAAGACCCTCGCCAAGATTCAAGTCAGAGCGATATTTCATATGTACGATTTCCGGAGAAATGTTTTACCCAAATTTATAGAGCTTTGTATGGAGACGTCATGTTGGTGCCCATACGGATTGGCACCAACATGGCGGCTGCAAAGCAATAGACACATCTGTCACTGAGTTTTGCTACGAAAGTCTGCATTTACCTCTCAAGGAACTCATAAACATTAAAGTAATACTTTTTCTAATACATGAACTGTTCAGATAGCACAATAGCCCGAAATAAGTCACCTTTTTAACCTACTTGACAGCTCTCCCCAGGGGCACCCAATCAATCTGTTCCTCAAATTTCTGCTGGCTGGGAGATGTAGAGGAAATAATATGTCCTTGGAAGGAAAGTGTTGCTAGGAAAAAGACAAATAAGAGTGTCTGAGGAGATTTGATGTCTGCTGTTATCCTGCTAACCTAGTTCTCCCCCTCCCAGCTCCCCCTCCCCCACTAAAGGGGTGAAGTTAGCCCTTGGGCCTCAACCTTTCTCCTAATTCCCCCTCCCCACTGAAGGTCGGAATTTTTCCTTATGACCAAACCCAAACTGGTCAGTAATGTTTGGACATACGTCTGCTGTTAAAATTTCCGAGTAAGTCAGGTTGCAGGTTGTAGATGCACCCTCCTGGCTGGGAACTCTTCCACCAGTCTTGCTTGGAGTGAGGAACAGATAAATTTTCCCCAGCAATCTCCCAAAATGCTTTAAATGGATTCAGAAACCTTTATTCATGCTTTGTTGTTGCTTTAAGGTCCTATTCTCCAAATTTCCCGTTGTCTCTCGGCCGTCATGTAAATGCCTCGTCAAGCATAAGCTTCTAAATTCAACCATACAATGTGTACTCTACCACAAAACCAAAAATCCTTTCGAAGAAAAAGTTTGTGTGAATATTAGTTTTTAGTTGCTCTAGTACGTATACGCCATGAAAGTAAAATCTCAGTACTGCTTGTTTTACAGTTTGAACTTTAGTGACGTCATGTGAAAGCCAGCAATAAGATAAAATTAAGTTTGAGCAACATCATCGGGTCAGTGTTGTCGACACCATTGCGTTATATTTATTATTAGCTAGGTTTTCATTGTCTACTACTTTAATTTGCGTCCATACGTACTATATACATTTCTTTCGCGCCACGAACTTGGCTTAATTGCTTTTGCGTAATCTTTATTTGTTTTAGACATTGCCTACTGATGATATTATGGACAGAATTGGCATTTAAGCTGGAGGCGTTATAAAAGAAGTCAGAAAAACGTTTTTTAACCTCGACCTTCGGCAATCTTGCTCTCCCCGCGACAAGGATCGTTGTGAGCCGGTTTAGTCCTCCAGCTAGTCGTAAACGCACACCTTCTTTGGCTCGTCACGCAATTAAAGGGTTGCGTGACAAGCCACTAGGACGGCGGGTAGGAGGCTGGTCACTAGGTAGCCACTAGCCGATCGTTACTAGCGATCAATTGGGCACAATAGTATATTCTTGTCCCAGGATCTCACTTATTAAGGTATTTTGTTCCTTGTAGATCAAATGAAAGCAAAGCTTACCCACTGATTTTGGGAGATGACATTTTAGATATTTATTGCAACATGGCCACTACGGAAACTGACGCATGTGGAGTTGGTGGATGGACTCTGGCTATGAAGATTGATGGAAAGAAGGTATACGTTGTTCCAACATTGCCCATAATAACAGTGCATAATAACAATGCAATCTGAACGAAGGACTCGAGTATTTTAGTTAGACCACTGTAGTACACGGTATATCTAGGTCCGTAGCGGTAATTATCCGTCCGTCTTGTCTTGTTGAGACTAGGAAAGGCCGATATAGGAATGAACACAGTTTCGCAGATGAACATCGAAGGCCGGGTGCCCATGTGTTAAGTGGTATAGCAAGGATGTTTTACGCCTTTTTTGTCCAGGAATCTTTTTAGTTTGCGCAGAAAACATAAGCGCCGATGATAAGCGCCGTCAGAGCCTTTTGTCTTCATCTCGTGAAAAAAGTGCGGAGGAATCTCATTAAGATAACATCAAGTGTTATTTTTTTGGTTGTTAAACCGGTTTGACAGGTTTTAGGTTTGTTATATATGGTCATAATTGATTTTAAACTGGTTTGGAAGGTTTCTTTACTTTCCTAGTTACTTTTGAGCAATGATTATTGATGACTATTCAGATCTTCGCGATATTTTTTTTCATAATTATAAAGGTTTAAAATGGATTCCGCTATAGAAAAGGATGGCACCCAACTTCAAAACAACAACTTTTGCACATTCTAGGCTTTTAAACAATAACAACATGGCTTGAAGCTTTGTTGGTAAATATGGGCAAGTTAGCACTTATGTTTCATGGAAAATTCCATTGTATCAAAGCTATAAACGTTAGAAAGAAAAATATAGTTCAAATGAGGCCTTTGACTGGTGAAATTAAAAATAATAATTAAATTCCGAGCACCAGCGTCATCAGGGATAAGAAAAGTGTTTCGCGTGGTAATATACATAAGAAAAAATTGGTGTAAAGTAAAATGTGTGAAAAGCGCAAGAATGGGCGGAATGTGTCAGAGGTATAAAAATATAAATTTGAATAAAATACAAAGATCTGATGAGCGAGTGTCACAGGACAAAGAGTCTCTTGAAAGGCATAATGATAGTCTTCAAAACAAAAGGTCCGCAAATTCGTTGCATTCCTCACGGGAGTTTTGGGCTGTCTCAATGCAAATCGAGCAGCAAAAAAACATGCTGGTTGACAAAATCTCTCGAAAGACATAAATAAATTCTAAAAAAAAGGTCTGCAAATACGTTGCATTCCTCACGGAAGCCTGAGGACTGGCTCAATGTAAATCGACCTGCGAAGAACATGCTGGCTCTGAGAGAATATAACCCTATGCGTTGATCAACTACCGCTTAAAATTCAATTCACAAAGGAAAACAGAACACTGAAAACCCTGGTTCTGAGTCGAGAAGCGAACACGCTACCTCAATGTAAATCGAGCTGCAAAGAACAAGCTAGTTCTGACAAAAATTTGAGCGTAAAACCTATTCCATGATCAGCTGCTACTTTAAACACAATTTATAAAGCACACCAGAGCACTAATTGCCCAGCTTTCAAACTAGAAATCGTATTAAAGCTTGCTCACCACATAGGTCCTCTTGAACAGACAACGAACAGCTACACACTGAATCACCCAAACTTGAACCACGAGTTGTAAATACAAGACCATGACGTCACTACCCAAATATGGGGTCTTACTTACACCCAAATATGGTCAAAAATACAAATGTTACAGGGTTACGCAGAATTTGAGAGTTTTTGCCTACATTGCGCGGCGTTATAATTCTGCCGCCGAGTCAACCTCGCTTCTTAGCTCGGTTGCCTCGTTGGCAATTAGAAAAATGTTAAATGTTTTATTCATTTTCAAGAAGGAATAGGCGGCAACTTCTCTGTCATTTAGAAATAATGCACCGCAACTGAATTATGCAAGTTGCTTTTCATACCGCTTTCATTATCTATACCATTGAAGACAACTTTTCTTCCTGGCTCCGGTTCACTGATTCTTGGCGCGTAATATATAATGGCAAAATCAAACCTTTGCAGCAAGTCATTCACGCGGTCATGGGTTCCTGACATGGTATAAAACCGCTATGCTGGAGACGTACTGGGACATGACAAATAAATTACCATTTGAAATTATGAATAACTAATTGCGTCTTTTTGCTTTTTCTTGTGCCAGTGTTTCTCTTGCTCTCCAGCATGATGGTTTTGTACCACGTGAATTACTAGCTAGAGAGGTACATGTACCTTTTTCAGGCTTCTGATTTTCGCTAGTTGAGGTATATGAAAGGGTAGGGAATTTGGCTATTTGGTGTAAAAGGAAACAAAATGGCTAACAAGTGCATTTCATGGCTGTGGAAAAAAAAGGAGATAACTTTCTGGTTTTGTAATGCACTCATATTTAAAAGAAGGCGCGTTTACAGCAGTTAAAAGGAAATCAATGTAAAGAACTAGGCATATGAAACTGCCTTGCCATTTGTCAATAGAAGGTATACGAAAGGCACCTACCCTGTCAAAAATGGTTTGTAAAAAGGTAAGAGGTTGAACCTCAAAGCGGAGCCTACCCCTGGGGCTTTTAAGGTCGCGTTGAGCACCTAATGCTCATTGTTATGCATTTATTTGACGAGAGTGCACGACGTACAACGACTGACATCGACAAGTTCACGAGATAATCATGACTGGGATAAAATATGGGCACTTGATTTAAGGTGTTCACGTGTGCACGTGTGACATAGAGAATCCACTTTTGTCATGACACACTGGAGGGTTTGATCAAATCCTTTATTTATTGAATTAAACAGTTCTGTCTTCCATTCGATCCGCAAACTTGGATACCTAAATTAAGTTAAGATCGTCTGTTGGGTCAGACGTCGAACTTAGAAAGCGTCGAACCAATCTGCGGAATCAGATCAGTAATAAGTTTCCTCAAGAACGATGCTCTGATATTTACATTATCGTACAAAGTCAGTTTAGT